ACACACCAACGACATCAACCTGTAGGGTTGTTATAAACTGTACAGTGCTGACAAGAGCAATCTTTTTGATGACGTCATTCCTTTCGCTGTTGTTCAACTTGACATCACCGTTGTCGATGTTATCATCATCATTGTTGTTGTTGTTGTTGTTGTAGTTGATGTTGTTGTTGTAGATGTTGTTGTTGTAGATGATGTTGTTGATGTTGTTATTGATGTTGTTGTTTATTTTGACGTTGTTGTTGTTGATGTTGTTGTTGACGTTGTTGTTGTTGTGGACACCATCGTTGCTTTGGAAATTGAACTTTAACGTCTCGACGAAATGTAGAGAGTCAATTTTTATGTCGACGAATATATAAAGCATTTGAATGCCCTGAGTTTGGGTTATCGGTACTTAGAGGAGAAACATTTAAAAAATATTATTATCATTTATATTATTCTTATTATCATCATCATCATCGTCGCCATCATCATCACCATCATCATCATCATCGCCATTATCATCATTACCACCATCACCAACTCAAACAACTATGTCCATAGTGAATGAGTAACTCGGCCCCGAGTTTTTTTGCAGTGAAGTCGTCGACACAGCAGGCACCGTACGTTACGTCACCCAAAATCATCACCTCGCTATCTGTAAAGCTGATTGGTCGGTTGGTTGGATGATTGGTTGGGTGGTTGGTTGATTGATTGGTTAGTTGACTGATGAAATGATCCTCATAAAATCATCCTCCCAGTCTAATATAATTTCTTTAAATTCATGTTTCCAAATCATCATTCATTTATTCATTCCTTCAATTTTCTCATTCGTTCATTCCATCAATCCGTCATTCATTCATTCTATCAATCCGTCATTCATTCATTCCTTCAATCCGTCATTCATTCATTTCTTCAATCCTATAATTCATTCATTCACTCACTCCTCTATAATGTCAGCAATTGGATTGGCAAACATAAGCAGCCCTTCTGGGAACTGTAGAGCAACTGACATAAAAAAAATTTAATGAAAAATAAAAAAATTAAAATATGAGTTACACATACAGACAGAAACAAAAATAATACATACACACTAAATACACACACGCACATATATATATATATATATATATATATATATATATATATATATATATATATATATATATTATATATCATATTAACAACCGTATATAACACTATATATTTTTATATATAATCAATTAATCAATCTTCGTTTTGCGTCCAGAGACCCGGTTCCCCGAGGTAGGACGATCAATAACTCTACACAGCTATATATAAATCTATATAACCGTATATAACACTATATAACTATATATAATCATACATACATATGTACCTTTCTTGATGTTGTTCGACTTTATCTTCCATATTGTTTTATAAATTTCAAAGTTATAATTGGCGGGTAGCTAGAATTTTCATAAAATATATTTATTATTTAATAATTTATCTAGAGAGAAAATTATTAAAAAAAAACTAAATAAAATAAAATAATCTATCAGTTATCCTCAATCTAAATTCTAATTAGAATCAGTGGTTAGTACTTTATTAATGGCCTCTTTCAAGATTGGGTCTTGTAATAATTCGTCAGGAATGTGATTTACTGCTCGCCTGGCTAAAATTTTATAATTGATCAATTAATTACCTTTTGATTAATTAATGAATAAATAAACGATAATAATTAATAAATCAATATTCTAACTAAAGTATTTGTAAATAAAAATTAAAAAGTAACATATTCAATGAAAAAATTATCATCAATATTAAAAACAATTGACTTCTCACTTCTGTCTTTAATTTAATTTTAAATTTACTATTTAATCTTTAAATAAATTAAATTCTGAAGTTTTAATGTTGTTATTCTATTATATTATATTATCTGTTATCACTCAGTATTCAATCAATTTCTAGAATTAGGATGAAAAAGAAAATCACTAATTGTAATTGTAAATCCTACTAAAACTAACTAATGACTAATAACTATAATAACTAATTTGGTTCAGTTTTTAATTATTTGTGTCTAGTGTAGTTATAGTGTTTGTGCAAAAATCAAAATGAAAATTTAAAATGAAAAATTTTAATAACAAACCGGTAAAAGTCTTTCCGGATTTCGTAGTTACGATCGATTTTTTCATGATTTTTCACAATTAAATACTTATTTATAAAATAAATTAAAATTGAAAGAAACTTACAAACACATGGATCTAGAGATTCACTTTTAATAATTTTATTATGGCCATAGAGTATAAGGTGTAGACTTTAAAAAGTGAAATAGGAAATTAAAAATTAAACGTTAGTACATAGACAATGTACTACGAAAAAATGAATGAAGATATTGAAATATGTAACGTAAAGTTAACAAATTTAAAAAAAATGAAGATTTTGAAATAAAAAAACATGGCATGTAATATTCTGTAAAGTGTAACGTTAATTATATTACATTATGTCATGTCATTCTGGCACTTTCTTCTTTCTCGTGCCTTATCCTTTCAGGACATTGGTGACCATCGACCTCCACAAAACCCGGTCTTTAACACTTCGTAGTAGTTGAAATGTGGTGATATTCAACAAGTGACACAAGGACTTCACGAATGTTATTCATTATTGTTGACCGCGATCTGTTTTCCCTGCCCGACACTTTAACCATTACATTATTTAATATTCAACAGTAAAGTTTAAGTTTTCACAAATATTGAAAGTTTTGGTTTACGAGTTTAGCTACTAGATATTTAAACTGTTACATATGAATTTAAAAGATGAAAAATTTGTCTTCTAATAATTCTTGTTGATAAAACTTTTATAATTTTTAATAAAAAAGTATTTAAAATCTCTAAATTTGTATTTAACAAAAAGTTTATAAGAATAAAATCTGACATTCCTACAAGCGTTTGCCAGTACAGGTAGCATAGGCGTGTGCTGAGGTTTTCCCATGAATCTCGTTTCATTTTCGTGTATCTGGGAAGTGACTTTGCTAAACTGTTTATACTCTCAA